CTCATTCATGATTCCATTCGGTAACTAATTCTATTTTTGTTTAAATTGGGTAGAAATTTTAGTAATAACAAAATCTACTTGATTATTTATTATTCTCGTTTCGATTTTTTTTTTCAAAATATAAATAAGAGTATTATTTTATACTTATAAAATGCATAAAATATTACAAGGTATATATATAATTGATGTTGAGTTTTTTTTTAAGTAATTTTTATGTAAAATATTACTTTTTTAATTTAAAAAATTAGAAAACTAAAAATAAAAAATGAAGAACGTACCAAAAACAAGAAATAGTTATCATATTTATCAAAAAAGAGGAAACAAGAAACAAGAAACATGAATACTAGACGAGTCCTTATTTTTCAAATTCTATCTCTAAATTTGAAAGGAAAAAAAATTTAATCTTATTTTCGTCCCTGTGATATTTGAGTTTTACCCGCCTTTATTTAAGAGGAATACCATTGATTATTAACTCAGTTGAAATTACTATGACAAGTTATGACATGGGTGTGCTAAAACACTATGAGAATAATAAAACTAAACAGATTCATTCCTTTCCTTGATCGTCTTGTTCTTTAGAATGGTTAAAATGGTTTGATGACTCAAATCATCAATTTTAGTCTCTAAACTTTCAAAAATTGATCCGTTGAAGTCATATGGGTAATATTTTGTCAACAAGTTAACAAATCGGTGATGTGGGCTTTTATGTTAAACTTATGAGGCACCAACATGGCGTTTTTTTTAACCTTTTAAAAATGTCAATTTCATCTCTTCAATGCAATGGATTTTTTTTTCATATTAAGATTTTTTTATATAACTGGTGTGCTACCACATGCGTTGCACGGAGTATTTTTAACTTAATTAATTTTATAAAAATAATATCACTAATAGTAAAAAACAATAATAAACAAAGAAAAAAAATAAAATGTGTATCTATACCAACTTCATAAATAAATAAGCATATATATATACACGTTGTTTTCTACTGAGGATTTGGCTAAATATTTTGTGTGTTTTTAATTTCAAGTTTTCTATGAATTTTAAAGTTATCACTTAGTTTTCATATCAAGTCTCAATCCTTTCACCATATCTCCTCTTTTAAGATTAGTATCTTATTATTGCAAGATAAACATACCTAGCTTCCAAACAAATTGTAACATCTGAAATCTATAATTCATAATATAGATTGACTCATGTATCATATTCATAATATATCAAACTTCATAAAATTGTAAAACGGTAACGTTGCAAACTTGGTATTCGAGGTATATAGATTTGACACATGCATCCTTTGCAACTTGATGAATATGCCACCAACATCTTGAGATGTTTTCGAAATTGAATAATATTTGAGAGATGTTTTGAAAAAACTAAAAATAAAGAAGTAGTGAAAAGTGTTGGAAAAAATGGTGGAAGAAACCTATTTTTATATTAGTAAAGAATAAAAAGTTATAAAAGCTTTTGAAATTCTTGAACTCTTCAAATTTGGGCATGAATTACAATTAAAGAAAAAATTAATTTTATGTTGTAGGAAATTTTTTTTGCATTCTAACCTTTTAAGTCCTATACATTTATTAGTATGGATAATTAAAGGAAAAAATTAATTTAATGTTGTAGAAAACTTTTTGCATTCTAATCTTTTAAATTCTATAAATTTATTAGTATTAATAATAAAAATTACAAAAGCTTTTAAAATTCTTAAACTCTTCGAAATATAGTATGAATTACAATTAAAGAAAAAAATTAATTTTATGTTATTGGAAAACTTTTTACATTCTAACCTTTTAATTTCTATAAATTTATTAGTATTAATAATTAATAATTAATTTAATATTTATAATAATGTATCAATGAGATAGTTTGTAAATTAGTAAATTTAGTAAAGGATGAAAGTGTCCAAAAATGTTTTTCCTACATTTTTCCTTTTTAATCTAGTATAGATATCATACTCCATGCTCCTAATTATAGATTGAATATCAAAATTATCTACCAACTTAAATATTCTTAACTAATTAAAATATCAATAACTTTTTTTAATAGATTAGGAATTCATTATCTCCACTTTATTATCTCAGTTTATTATTCTTCGAAAAACGTTTGTTTGAGTGAAGAGAATTATTCTTAATGCACTTCTTTTTATAAAGTTAATTAGATCTATATGATAATGTAGAATAACAATTGTGTTTATTTTCCTCAAAATATAGAATAATAAATGTTAATTATTTTAAGACATTTTACCTTTTTCATTAATAGTATAAATAATAAATTATAATAATATCTTTACACTGACAAAGTACTAACTACTTTTCTTTCCTTTTAGCAGAATCTTTCCAAAATATATATATATAATTAATTACTAATGCTCATACTTTACAAAATTATTCGGAGTATTTTTTTTCTTTTTGTTTTTTGTTTTTATATTTTTGTTATCACCAGAGGAGTAATATGGGAAGGCATGAATACATTATAACATCAAATAATTCATGTTAAATTTAGCAGAAAAAGAATAACAAAAAATAAAAATTTGAGTTCAAAAACATATTTGGTCAATTTACTTTCGCTCGAGTAACAATTTAGTCTTTATAATTTAAAATCGTAACAATTTAGTCCTACTAGGAAAAATATCATCAAAATATAAGTGTTTGATTTTTATCAATAACAATTTAGTCTTTGTAATTTATAAAAACACATTTGACCCCTCATCCATTTATTAATCTATATATATAAGAAATTTAACAAATTTTTTCACAGTATATATCACTAAATTGTTACCAACTTTGAACTACATGATTAAATTATTACATACTAACCCTGTTTCCATCCTAGGTGACTCATTGGTCCAAAGAGACTAGAATTAATTAAGAGGGAATGGATTCAAATACCATGATCAACACTTGAGAAATTAGTAATTTCTTTTGGTTTTCCGCCGGTCAAATAGGTCTTTATTATTAAAATTATGCAAAGTTGAAATCATTTTTGACCAATTTTATACACCAAATAGAGTATAAAGCTAAATGACTAAATTGCTACTAATTTGAGAATAAAGGGACTAAATTGATGCAATTAAATTTCAGGACTAAATTGTTACTTTATCAAAAGTACAAGATGGAACGTCTTTCTTTATTTTTATATTTATTTTTTTATGAAAAATGGGAGAGAGTTGTCAATTTTTTTTTCTTTTAAGTTTCATTTTTATATAGATTGATGGAACAACCGACGTGATAGAGATAATAATAGAATGGAATCTAATTTGAACAGATAATTTCTTTTTGATTTATATTTGTTCCTTTTTAAAGATCTAAACTTTATATTTCTTAAAAAGTTTTTTTTTAAGGGATATTAATGGAAAGGTTGGTTCCAATTTTATAAAGGGTAAGGATTTAGATTTCAAAAGAATAAAAACCTTTCCAATTTACATATAAATAAATCCTTTCTAAAGTTTTTTTCCCATTGGCATCAGATGCAAAATGATTATATTGGTGGTTTGAAGTATGAGAGTGGAAACAAGAATGACATTTATGGAATGTTTGAAACTTCCTTACATGTATATTTATGGGTTAAAATATTATTTTGTCTCTGTATTTAAACCTTAGTTCATTTGTACGTTTACTTTTAAAAAGTGATTATTTTAGTCTATATTTGTAAAATTTTAACACAAATTCTACACAACGAAAATCATTTCATATAAAGTAATAACATTTTAAGAAATATATTGAGTGTAGTGGTGTATTGAAATTGTGATAGAAAAAATAAAATTAAGAGACCAAAATGATCACTTTTTTAAAGTACAAAAATGATGACATGGATCAAAACGAATATTTTGAAAGTACAAGGTCCAAATCAAAGTTTAAAGTACATGAACCAAATAGTAATCCACCCCATATTTATGTGTTTCTAATATGATAAGTTTACTATGATTTTTTAATTCTAAATATATTATCGAGGGAAGTAGAGAAAAATTTCCTGACGTCCGACGTTCTACTAGTCTGAAGGGATTTGTGGTCCAATCTTTTAGATCTTTTATCTGGTAGTTAATCTTTTAAAAGTCTCAATTTTATCAAAATGTATTAAAAGTAGTCGGGTTTTTGGGTTGTACAGTCCTTTTTCGAAGGGAGAATTTGTTTTTATCCACTTTTTTCAAAAGTTAAGTTTTCTAAACTTTGCTGACATCACTTTAGATATCAGAAAACTTTATTCTCTCTGGGTGTTCATGGTTTTTCAGGTTGATCAGATCACAGAATCGGTGGAACCAAATATGATGGTCAACCCAAACCAAATTTTCGGGTTGGGTTGGGTTGGGTCAGATTGGGTCATTGGATTGGTATCTCGCTAGAAAATGAGGGAGGGAAAAAGATTTAGGAAACAAGAGATAAATCTAAAAAAAAGAGTGGAAGGATAATGAAAGTAAATTGTCATAAAGTGATGTCAGTCTAGAAAAAAGTTTTGAAAAAAGTGGGTAAAAACAAATCCTCCGTTGAAAAAATGACTATACAACCCAAAAACCCAAAGTAGTTCTTAATTAGGTCTTATAACAAAGGTTGTAAACAAAAAGTAAATATATTATTAAATTATTCTTTGATTAACATATTTGAACACATTGACCTATCATCTAAATGCTACTTGACACATGAAATCAATTAACTTCTAAAAAAAATCTTGTAAGTTTGACATGTTCAAGTAGCTGGCTGCACATAGTTTTTTATTAACAAAACTTAACAACCTTTTTTAAGTACAACATGTAGGGATGGGGAATCGAACTCACAACCTCTTAGTCGGATATATAGTCAATTACCACTAAACTGCGTTCATTTTGACAAAATTTAACAACCCTTTGTTTACCACAGAAACTGTTGATAAATTTTAGTACATTATCGATAGTGTTAAAATTTTAAAGATTTATGGACCAAACTAAGAAAAATCTAAAAAAGTAACGATTGGTTGACATATTTAGATTTTTTTTTAAGATTTTAAAACAAATTCAGAAGCAGTAGCAAATATTGAGATTTTTTTTCTTAGTATGTGGTTTTCTTTTCTCTTTTGTGTTAAACTTTTATGTATTAAATTTGATTTGATTTTTTTTTTTTGACACAGATAGATTAAATTGAGTTGAATTTTTCATAATTGCATTTTGTTGCTTGTAATTTGCTAAACTTTATGGTAGTTTGTAATTTTTTTTTCTTCCTATTATTATTGATGATAATTGTAGTTTTTGTAATATATAATTGTAAGATGTTTAGATGAGATTTCTTCAAATAAATAAAAGAAAAATGACTATTAAAATTTTAAAATATATATTTAGTACAACAAGTAGATGAAAAAGTGGACGGGTATTGTGTTTTGTTCTTAGCTTGGCGCGCTTGCTTCCCTCTAAAGAAGCACAACCGTAACGCTTTGAAGTATTAGGTGAATTACTAAATTCTTTTCGTACCGCCTTCTCTCGAAGCAGTATTTCCCTCAGCTGCATATCCAGTTTATTCTGAACTAACATATCATTTTTCTCCTGATTCCGCTTTTCCCGAATCAACATCAAATTTCAGCTAGGTCGATCATAGGGTTATTTCCAGTTTTAGTGTTTAGTATTCGACTTCAGACGGAGGAGTAGATGTTATTTAAAAGGTTGGCTTGAATTGTTTTAAATCTTATTTTGGTTATTAAACTTTTTAATTTATTTTAGGCTAAATAACCATGGTTAAATGAGTTTTCTTCATTTGCTCATTAATTTTTTTTAAAATTCTCGTTTTTGTCCTCGATATATTAATAATTTTAAAATATCTTTCCATTAAACTTCATTAACATAAAACTTATGTGAATACATAGACATGTCATTTAGATATATAACATAGAAAAAATAGATTTTGTTGATCAACTAAATGATGGATTCTATATGTCAAATCGCATCTGAGTGGCATGTTCATGCGTCTGAATATGTAACTTCAACTTTTTGTTAACAAATCTTATTATTGAAAAAATCTAATTGAAACTTTTAAATAAATATAATTGTTAACATGAATCGAACTCATTTTAAAGTTGGAACTTCAAATTCTCACACCTCTTGGTTGTATTAAAAAAACACTAATAAAGTTTTTTTTTAAAAAACTAAGAATATAATTTAGATTTTAAAAGATTTGTTTTCCAACATTTTAAGAATAACTATTTTAGTTATTGTACTAATTTTGTAGTCAAATATTTAATATATGGATCTATTTTCTTTCCCTTTAGTCCTTGGTTTTTTAGGTTAATGTTTTTTTAAAAATCAATATTTTCGATTTCGATTTGTTTTTTGTTTCTCTTTTAGAAAATTGAGAGAAAAACTTAACCCAACTGTAAATAATAAAATTAAATAAATAAAAATGGTAAAAAATATATAAATTAAGAAGTAAACATTTCATCATTTCTAGATAAGTTAAAAATAATTAATATTAATATATTATCTATATTAGTGATATTTTGTTGATATTTTTTACATTTTATCAAAAATTTTATAATATTATAGAAATGTCGATTTTCCTCGTGTCAACTAGGGGTGTACAACCAAAATGACAAAACCAACGAAACCGAACCGAACCAACCCGAAAATCGATTTTAGTGGTTTCTCAGTTCGATTCAATCCGTTAAAATTTTAAAATCGAATAATTCGATTCGATTTCGGTTTAGAATAAAATCTAAATTCCTAAAACCGAACCGAACCGCGCATGTATGTATGTGTGTGTGTATATATATATATATATATATAATAACTTACTACTTTTAAAAAATTAACAAAATTAGTTGACGGCTGATTCGGATGGGATGACTGAGATTGCCTTTGGGTTGCTGCACACCGATTCAATTGACATTATTTTTTTATATTTTTTTCTTTTATTTAAAGATTAAATAATAATTAATAAATATCTTAAATTTCAAAAATTAAAATTGAAAATCTTAAACTTAACTTTTACCTTATTCTCCTTATTTTATTTTATTTTGTTATTTTAACTTTTTAAGTTTCCCACTTTCTATCTTTTCAACATTACCTTTCTTTTCCTTCTCCTTTTTCCAAAGCGTAACCCTTTTCTTCTTCTTCATCGACTCTTCTTCTTAGTTCTTTCTCACCACTACTTTCTATCCCTCCAGTTTTTAGTTTTCTTATATTTCCTGGCACTTCTTTTTCATTTTACTCAACTTTCCTTGAACTCAATTCTTCCTCAAGCCTCAATACTTTTTTTTTTGCTATAACCGAACCGTATCCTACTTCGTCGTTGTCATCACATATTTCCGTTTATACGGCCACCACCGCCTCCACCCAAAAATAGTTCAATGGAGCTGTTTCGTCTCCATCGTCATTGCCGCCACCATAGATTCCATCCAGAAATCGTCCAGTCTGAACCAAAAGACGGGCCCATAAGGAGGAGATCTAGAAAGTCCAGAAATCGTAACCGAACCGAACTAAACCAAACTTAGTTCAGTTCATATAATACATTCGGTATTTCATTTTTTCAAATTCGGTTTCGATTTGACCTTGAAATTGGATCGAATCGAACCGTGAATACCCTTAGTATCAACGTCAACCCATAGATACATAGAATTGTCGACATTTCGACCGATATTTAATTTCATGGTTAGACATGGATTTTTGGACTTTGGACTAAAAATAGAGACAATTGAGTTTGTCAACTTTATATATAAAAATACATTATTGAATGATATATAAAGAAGAATTAATAATAAGAAAATACCCAAAAAAAAAACTCAGGGCAGGGATCGGGTAGGATCATTTTTTTCATGATCCGTTTAATTTTCATGATCCGCAGGTATTTTTTCCATCCCTAGTGACCATTTTTTTTTTTAAAGGAAATGACCATCTATATTTAAATAAAATAGATCATGTTGCTGTCTCTTTCATTTTTACCCCTCTTACTATTATTATTATTTTTTTCTCAAAACAATTTTCGACCTTCAATTTTGAAAACAAAACTTCTTACTTCTTATCCTTACATTGATTTTAAATTTCCATTTTGTTTTCAAAATTTTTTTATTCTTAATTAATTTATAAATTCAGCATCTTCTCGTCTTCCTGCACAGAGTCCTCGTTAATATTCAACACACGTTTTTTTCAGCATATATATATATATATATATATATATTATATTGTTTTTAATTTTGGATGTGTAGATTTGTGGATTTGACTTTTTTTTCACAATTTCTTTGAGATATTTTTCATTACACATTTAAATTTCTATTTTTAGTCCAATTTTAGAAACAAAAAGAAAACCATTTTTTGCTTTGATTAAAATTTGAAAATATTTGTAAAAGATTAATGACAATGGATCTTAATTTTAAAAAATATTCAAAAATAGAAACCAAAAAACAAGTGTTCTTCTCAAAATTTCACCATCTAATTCCATGGAATAATAACTGTGAAGAAGATCGTTACATTTTAGTTAAACCTCAAATATAATATAAAATGATGAAGAAGAAGCAAACAAAAACCA